TGACCAATTGTTTTCCAGATGTTGAGTGCGCCTTTATAGAGTTGCTTTGCCTCTAGAAACCTGCTTTGTGCTACATATTTGTCTCCCAGTTCTATAGTTAGCATCCCAGCATGGTTAAATGTGTCAAGAATTGTGTTTGCATGTCTTTCCGCATCTGTGTAACCAGAGATCGCGTAGTACGCATTGAATAGCACATCGGAGATATCAAGGTGACTACCAGAGTGAAGGTTTTGAAGTAGAATTACACATTCGTTACATAACTCAATCGCTTGTAGGCCACGATTAGTGTTCAGAAGAAATATGATGACATTTAAACCTATCTGGACTGATTTTAGGATTTCTGCAGCGTCACTCATAACGGGTCTCTCCTGTTTGATGTCGTAAGAAAGAATCAACAAAAAAAGGAAGCTTAGGAAAAGTAAAACTGAAAAATGTATGAGTTTCTAAGCTGTTTTTATGGAATTTGTGGTTATCTTCCTTTTCACAAATGTCTAAGTGCAACATTCCATTTCATCCTTTTTTCAAACCAGTCACAAGTGTATCATCTGGGTTCAAATTACAATAATCGTAGAGCAGATTTGGATATAGCTATCAAAAAAGTTTCACCAGTGGAATAGCGGTTAATTTACCAATCGTGTTATATTTGCATTCTCGAGAAAGTGTTTGCACGTGACGCGTGAAGGAGGCTAAAATTAATATTTGGAGCGTGAATTTTACAGAAAGGCAAGCGTGATTCGCGAAGTTAAGAGGCAATGTTAGGCGTGATTTGCCTCCTGATATATGCGTGACCCGTCAATTTCTTCTTTCATTTCGTGAAAACGTCAGGAAATTGAAACTAAGGAAACCTTAGATGGAAGAAAAATTGTTTCTTAAGTTGCCCATAAGATTCATCAAATAACACACGGGAGCTTCCTAGTTTTAATCACAGAAGTGATGAACACGTAGTTTCTCCTTACAATATCAATATACCATACAGCAATGGTGAGGGCAAACAGACTCATCATTCAGAGGGTGTTATCTCTATGAGTAGCAAGTTTCAATCCAAAACATGTTAACGCATAATGTTTTTTAAATTAATTTTTGGCTGCTCACCTTTGAAAACGAAAACATCCCTGGATAGTTAGGAGACCAAAATCGCGAGACTGATTCGAACTTTCTCTACAAATCAAGGAAGAATGTAAAGAGTTAGTATTAGATTGAATAGGAACGTTATCGGTTAAAAGTAATCATTGTAAACCTGAGAAGGATGGAACTTGCATTACAGCTTGCCCATAAGATATCTCAATAAATATTGGAGCTCGCACATCATTGATAAGAGTTTGGTGGTTTTAATTTCTCTTTGCCCGATTTTTTAAAACCTTCAAGTTACAGAACTGACGAACATGTTGCTTCTCCTCCAATATCAACAACATTATTCGGTAAACAAGCGGCGAGAAAACTTATCAGCCGAGGGTTTTTTCTTACTACAACATTTAAGTCTCCCTACTGACTAACAAGGTAATGTAACGGAGCTAGAAGGAAGAGTTGGTGATGAGTTCTTAAATTCAAAAGGTTGAGATGATGCAGGCCTCAAATACTTTGCAATCAAATCAAAACTTGATTCGACTCTGGAAGGTCTCCGCAAATATTATCAGATTGTTGGAATAACAACTATTTTATCACTGAATTTGCTATTTTATTTCACAAGAAATAAAATTTTTTTCAAAGCGGGAAAAGATTAACTATTACTAAATTTGGCTTTTTAGCTGGTAATCTTTTTAAAGATAAACACGCTTTGTTTGTGTGATGAGACCGAAAGTGGCGAGAAATAAAGAGAAATGCAAGCAGCTCGTGTGAGAACAAAGCGCTCAGGCGTCACTGAAAAACAGCGTCGCTGAAAAACATTGTAACCCATAAATAAAAAACGAGAGAGGGGGAGAGAGAGAGAAAGGACTGTAAACTGATATTTTCTTTATTTATGCAGCTTACCCTTGAACAAGGAAGTGTATCTTGTTTCGTATTCTGATCGAATAACTGAGGAAGCCGAGAGTAAGAAACTAAAAACCACTTTCCCTGCAAAACAGAGATGAATGGCAATCTGACAAGAGTGATAAAAAAGTACCAGCTTTATCGCTAAAACAAAAAGTCGTTTAGAAGACCTAAAACAGAACTACGTGGCTTTCCAACTTCCGTGTAATTTAAATTCATGACATGGCATCTTAATTTTTTTTAAACAAAGATTTCAGATTTAAAAATCTGAATTTCTCGTTCATGCATCGTGTGTCTGCTTTTATTCTTTCACTCCCAGATTCTGACACCTAAGAATTGTTTAACGCGCAATTTCTCCTTACAGCTTCAATATATTCTCCAGTAAACAGTTTTGGAGAATAAAGAAACTTATCAGCTGGACGGTGGCAAATTGACGCAACACTTCATTCTCTAAAAATATATACTGTGATATTTATAACATTTAAGGATACTTAGTGAGATGATGGAAGTTAAAGGCCTAAAGTTGAGTTCATCATTTTATTT